TAGGAAACAAAACCGTATGGAATTGGATTCCTCCCTGTTCGCGTATTCTGTGTAACTGCTTCAACAATTTGATTCTGCACCGCCTTGCATCAATTGGGCAATGCCTTTAGAGAGTGCCACGTGGCAGACTTCCTTCCAATTCCAATTTCAATGTTTTACTTCGACCAACATATATATTATTTTATAAAGTTTAATCCATTAAGGTGCGTGTTTGATTTTCTTCTTCAACCTTTCATATTTAATTTGTTTTAGCTTCAAACTTCTTCAACTTTACACCAATTTACTCCTACAAATAAAATACAATATTTAGCACAATTCATAAAATTCACGCTAAAAAAGGATAGATATAAATAATAAATGTGAGGCAAATAATGATTAAAAATATGTATTTTTGGCCTCACATCAACACCCCGCACTTAAACTTTTGCTCGTCCTCGAGCACACATTAAAGCTCATCTCAAATACTCATACTAGGAATGTCATCACTTTGTTTAATACAAACAATTAGGCCATATACTAATTTCAAAACATCAGGTACAATTCTCAATCATTATGCAAGACATCCAATTAAATAACAAACCTCTAACCTCCTAACCTCAAAGAAAGACTTTGAACTCATCAAATTTAAGCTTGCTCACCTACTTTCATCAAAGAAAGCTAATAAAATCACCTATCTATCATGAAACAAGTGCCCTCACAAAAAGAAATAGTCCACACACTCAATTCAAAAGATTGAATATAAATTAAGGACTTAGCATCACAGAACAACTCTCACACTCAGAAATAAAATTCACATGTGTACGAAGAACCACAGGCTTTCCCATTATGTAAATCTCCACTAATTAAGCATGCTTGAATATAATCAAATAGGACTTTAACGGGTTGTAATGTAGGCTAGGGGGCGGGTAGGAAAACTATATAATAGTGACTTACACTTCCTTAAGCACTTTTGCACTTTAAGACTTCATCACCCATTATTTTCTTCTCTTTATTTTCATCCCTCTCTTCAACAATTATTTCACAAGTAATTCTCCTCATCTCAAGAATGTTTCAATCATTTTTTTCTCTTTTTTAAAAATATATATATGCCTTTTCACTAGCCACCCTCAATTGAGATGCAGAATATCCATGGTAGGACCAGGGGCAATGTTTCAGCATACTTTTATTTTCCACACAGCATAACAGAGCAATTTTTTTATCACATTCTTTCAAAGAGGACTTTTTAAGCATTTTGTAGCTATCATTGATTACCTTTCACTCAATTATCCCTTTTCTCAAAATTGATAATTAGAATAAGTAGATGCTATAATGCTCAAAGAAGCAAGGTGCAAAAACTAGGGATTCAACAAAATAGTCAAGGGTAAAATATGGCTACCAACAAAAGGCTACGGGCTCAAAAAGGCTAACTAGTAATATAATATCTGAAAAGGCTAAAATTACCAGTCAAATCAAAGAAAGCCTATTATCATCTCCTAAACAAAGCAACACTTTTTATTTCAATTTAATAACATGCAGGGCAAGTTCTAGACTACGATGCAAAATATGGAATAACCAAATTCTCACCACACATAGAACAAGTATCAATTAAGATGGATCAATTCCACTTCTTAGAGAGATGGGATCATAACAAACTATAAAATAAAATAAGGTATATAAAATGTCACAACCATGAGCTTAGATGTCAAAAACATTGCATAATTTTAATGAGCATTCACAAGAAAGTAATACTCAAAAATTAGACCTAAATAGCAAGTATCACACCACTCAAAAGGGTCTTTTATTTTCTCTAAAAAAAAAACTTATTCCTAAGGAAATAAAAGACATTCGGTTCAAAGGGACTATCCTTAGGAAAAGAACCGAAAATAAAAGTCAAAGAACTCATCCTAAACAAATAAAAGACTCAATAAAATAATAAAAACTAGGAATTTATTCTTCCACCCACACTTAAAAAGATGTTATGTCCCCAAAGCATCAAATAAAATTTAAAACTAGGGTTATAAAAACTCCCTGAGGACTTTATGCCTAGCTAGTAGCATGTGCTTTTTATTTTCATCAAGGGTCGTACGCACCACACACTTAAGCTCAAACGTGCTCCTTAGCTCCAAATTTCGGATACTCAGACTTCTCCAAAACCTGTAAAAAATCGCACAAAAAATGACACTAAAAAAATAAAATAAAAAATAAGAAGTTACACTATTAATTGGGTTGCCTCTCAATAAGTGCTTAATTTAACGTTGCGGCACGACACAGATAAATTCACCACTTTTCTTTCCACTTTGAACTTATGAATTTTACCCCTAACTTTGCATCTATTTTTCTGCTTCTCTCAAGGAGAGGTGGTATAAAGATAAAAGAACCAAGTAATTTATGTCGCATCTTGTATTTCTTCGCCCTTAGGTGAGGAATGTCGTTTTGTCTACGTGTAATAAAAAACTTTAGAATGTAGGGGACTTGTTCCTCATCTATACACTCATCCATTAGTTCAGATATTACAGAAAAGTGTTTTGAATAAGATTCAAGTTGCCTCAACTCCAAAGCATCATTATTTACAACATTCACACTTTTAGTCTCTTTATTAACATCAATATTAAGGAATAATGTGTAGTTGAATGGTTGGAATTCCTCATTTTGCTCCACTAGTTGGTCATCATCCACAACACATGGTAATTGGGCTTCAGAGGCCTCAATCTTTTTGTTCAAGTGAGCCTCTAAGTCATGAATATCTGAGCGAAATTGATCTATTTCTTGTGTGAGCTCAACTCTTCCTTCGATCAGTTGGGTTGTCATGTATGTCAGACCATCATGGATAGACTTTTGAAACTTTAGAAGTTGAGTTTGTTCTTGTAGCCAAGATTGGCTCACTATCTCTGCTGGGCAGCAATCTCTTCTAATTTAGCTAGGATAGTAATGTCTAACAGTTTCATGATTTTTTTGTACTCTTCCGTGAATTCGAATAATTGTTCGGTGATTTTTGAATTAATTTGTCCAGCATGTCCGTACATTCCATAAGTGAATTCCCATTACACGTCTCTATTTTTGCATTCTCCACTTCATCGCCCCTACCAACATCACAAATAATAGAAGAATCATAATAGGTGTTCGGGGGAAGGGAAGATTTAGGACAACCATTCCAATGAATATATTGACGACCACATATATGACATAAAGGACATTCATCACCCAACCACGATTTATCCCACTCATTCATATCAATAAGAGTACCAAATTATTCAAAGAAAGAAAAATAATAATTGTTGAATGAGTGATGATAATTGTATTGTATCTAATCAATGAGTGTTGTAGTGACAACATAGTTTTATCATTAAATATCAATGTTTAAATAACAGCGACTTAAAATTTGTAGCTAAATAATTTAACTATTTGTGACCAAAAAATTTCATAGCTAAATATAATAATATTTGGCTACGCTTGTTTATGATTACATGTGACAAATGAAGTATAATAATTTCATAGTTAAATATAAAAAAAATGATCCTTATTATACCCTCAATTTATATAACATTGAGTTAATGTCTTTGAAAAATTTATTGAGTAAATATGTTTAAGATTCTATCAATGAAAAGTGGTAAAATGGTAAATTTACTATATCAAACATTGTTTTTCTTAATAGCCGTGTCATGTAAAAAATTGACAAGTAAAAAGGAACCGGGGGAGTATTTTATAATAACTCTCACTAAATTAGGAGTTATTTCAGAGTTCTTGGGCTCACACCAATTTTTTTTAATTAACGCTATTTAAAATATACAATATTGATAATATTTGTAGCTATTTGAAAATCTAGAATTATATAATTAGACTACTTAAAATTAAAGAATAATTTCATGAACAAATATTGGGTCTATGCAAAGCATGGTGTTTTGCCACTAGTAGTATTTAAGACTCTATGAGCACACATGTCATGGTCGACATGTGTGCTTTGTGGAATTTCAATTAAATTGAAGGTCATTTTTTTCATTTGACTATGAAAGTATTAAAATGAATTTCTAATAATTTATATATTTCAAAACTACGTAAAAACTATTATAAATCACAATAATTTATAATCTAAATTAATTTTAAAAATTAAATAAAAAGTATATGTTATTCCCCTTGTCCAATTTATGTTACTCTGTTAGAAATATTATAATCAATTTAATCTTTTATATGTCTTTTAATTTTTAATTATTGTGATTGTTGCCACCTAATTTTGACCAACCTATAACCCTTTCCGAATTGCTATTTGATTATACTTTAATTATATACTTTAACATTCGTAATTTACAAAATTATTATTATTATTATTATTACTATTATTATTATTATTATTTTTTATTTTTTTTTTGCCGAACATTTTCAAAATTCATAACATTTAAGTTGTTGACACCTGTTGACATCCAATTTTGACCGACATTTAACCCTTTTGGGAATGCTATTCGATTAAATACGTATTCTTAAAACATATTTCAGATTTAAAATTTTAATCGATTTTGCCTAAAAAAATTATATATTTTAGTATGCATTATTTATAAAAAATATTGTATTTATTACTAAATTAGTTTATTATTATTAAATTATTATACTTATCGATAGTCAAACTCGAAATAATTATTTTACTCAAATGTTTTAAAATTTATGTATGTAAACTTTTAATATGTGTAGTATTTAATTAATTGAATAACATTTTCTTAATCTTCCTTTAAATCATTTAAATCTTAGCATAATCCATTCCAATTTGTTTAATCTGTAGCCATTCTTGCTATCCAATTCATTTCGATTTTAGCCTCTTATTCTAATTTAATTGCATTTCTAGCCCTTTTGTCCTTTGCAATTGTAGCCAATTCACTTCAATTTCAGATTTCAAACCCTTCTTTTAATCTCGTCTATCTATCCCTTAAGTTAAATCGTAGATCAAATCCTAGCAGCTCATCTAAACCGGTCCAATGGCTCATATTTAGTGACCATTCTCTTTCCTACTTTAGTCTAAAAGATCCCAACTTTTTTCTCATTCTCTCCCTCACAAAAAGAATGTCGCCTCTATCTATTCCTCTCCTCTTCGGCCAGCGTAGCCGGTGAAGCAGTCGCCTGGTGCCAGCGGCGGGCTTCGTTCCTCCTCCCTTACCCTTCGCCTTCTCTCTCTCCTCTCTTTTCAAACGAGAAATAATAGCTAGCAGCTCTAGTGAGCCGGCTCCAACCAACAGCTAGGCAAGCTAGCGCAGGCAGCAACTCCGACAGGTGACCTCCGATCAGCGAGCATCGACTGGCGAAGAGAGCAGCAACGACCAGTGAGGCCCCAACAACGAGGAGTAGCAGCAGCAGACGACAACTCCAGCATCAACGGCAGCAGCTCTAGCAAATGCAGCAGTCGCGTGAGGCTTGTACACTGGTGAAAACAACAACAAATCAGACTAAGCGAAGCTTCGGTCAACGAACTCCGGCGAAGTAAAGGTTGGATCAACTCGAGATTTAAAGGGTTGATATGTTCAAAGATGGATCTTTTCAGATCCGTCCGGGTTTGTCCTCCTAATTCGATTATATGTTTCCTCAATTTGTTTATGAAATATATGATTGTGCATGTTTGTGTTATTGTGAAAACTCATTAATGCTTAAGCAATTTCATCTCAAGAATTAATCGGTTCCTTTGTGATTTCTGATAGTAATAGTTGTTAAGGCTTGCTAATTTTCTGAAGTCGCCCCTTTTATTTTTATACTTCACCCGAATTCGAATTGTATATTTCTTCTATCTTGTAATATGCTTTGTATTCAAGTTCGTTGTAATAGCATAAGTACCAACACTAGTTGATCCTATTGAAGACAAAATTGATTTTCTTGCAAGATCAATTTGTGTTTATCTAGTGTTGATATAAAGCTTTAATTTTGGAATAATGTGTTTGTTAAATATAAGTACCCAACACTAGTTGATCCTATTGATGACTAAATTGATTTTCTTGCAAGATCAATTTTTTTCCATCTAGTGTTGACACTGGGTATGTTGTTGTTGCTTGAAGGTTTCAAGAGTCAAATGCTATCATATATGTTCTTCACAAAAAGAAAGTACTTCCATCATTAAGCATGAGTACCAACACTAGTTGATCCTATTGATGACAAAATTGATTTTCTTGCAAGATCAATTTGTGTTTATCTAGTGTTGATATAAAGCTTTAATTTTGGAATAATGTGTTTGTTAAATATAAGTACCCAACACTAGTTGATCCTATTGATGACTAAATTGATTTTCTTGCAAGATCAATTTTTTTCCATCTAGTGTTGACACTGGGTATGTTGTTGTTGCTTGAAGGTTTCAAGAGTCAAATGCTATCATATATGTTCTTCACAAAAAGAAAGTACTTCCATCATTAATGCTAATATTTGTAAAGTTTGTAAAACTCTAGTGAGGTTGTCCCTTTTCTACCCTGCCATATTTTTATGTTTCTTGAATGAATTACAATAATTTTTTGTTTAAAATCCTAAGGATGTCTTAAACAATATCAGTTATGTCCATCTATGCCTATCTTTCTCTGTGTCATCTTTTAGTGTTCCTGTTGTCCCAAATTTTGAATGCATACATGACAAACAACTTTAGATGTCTAAATTCTGATTTACATTATATCCCCTATATTCCATTTGGGGGATTACTCCTGGATATGTTGTTGTATATCATGATATCATAAAGTATGAAATCAATTTTTTTTTCTTTTAGACAAGTTGTGGAAGGGGGAAATCAAGACTAGTGGCTAGTGAAGTTCTTTTGCAATGGTATTTTGAGAAGCAACCTCTATTTTACTGCCTCGGTTTTGTTAATATTTAGTATATCTTAGTTAGACTTTTAAGTTGGATACTTTTTACTTAATATATTTTTGTAAAAATTATGCAAATCACATAGTATAAGAAAGAAATTACTCCCTATCCCTACTCTTTCATAAATTACCAAAAATCCCTATTCTTAGTGTCTTTCGGATACATAATATTGCAGGCGGATACTTTAATCAATAACAGGCGAATACTTAAATTAATAAATTTTTTTATCAGTTTAATGCGTTCAATAAGGGATTAAAAACATAAATTACAATTGACTCCCACTATTAACACGTACGTTTCTTCCTTCAACCAATCAGGCTTTCATAAACTTCTAACTAAATTAGAAATTCTAAATTTCAAATTGTGAAACTTTCTCCATGTTCTGTGAAAATTCAGTAGAAGTTTGATTTTAAAAAAATTTGGAATGCAATTTTGTGAATTTTAAATTTCAAATTGTGAAACCTTCTCCATGTTCTTCGAAAATCCAGTAGAAGTTTGATTCAAAAAATTTTGGAACGCAATTTTGTGAAGTTTCGTAATGAATATTTCGATCTTGTTAAGATATTATGGATTATGCAAAAGTGATGTTAGATACAAGCGATACAGAAGTGATGGGATAGTGGTATCTGAAAATATTTCGTTCGTTAATCTTATTTCAGCAATTGCAGCTGAATTGGATATCGATGAATTGAAAAAAAATATCGCGATAAGATACGTTGTTGAAGGTAATTCATCTCCATTGTGTATTCGGAATGATATGGGGTGAAATTGTACATAGAAATTAAGAAACATGAGGTGAGATTCAGTATGTATCCTCTATGCATTGATACGTCAGAAAAAAGTGATGAAGAGATACAAAAACTTCGATGCAACAACAGGTGCAATCGTGTGTGTTGAGGGGTGGAAAGATTCTTGATGCTTGCTTTTTAGAAGTACTTTTATGCTTCATGCCTAATAATTCTCAAATTTTATACTTAATTAAGTACTTTTAGGTTACTATTTTGTGAAGCAATAAATGAAAAATTGTTATATTTTGTATTTTGGCTACATTTTTTTATTGTTAATTTCTGATAAAGTTAGTTTGGTATACATTGATGTGTTTCTGATACTTAATTGTTTGTAAATTTTGTATGGGATAGAATAATAGTATCAATAGTTGTGATGTGTGCCAAAGTTAAAAGAGACAACATATAAAAAAGGTATCAATTGAATCAATTATATATCATATATATAATATCTTCTTCTAAAAATTGTATCTACTAATAATAGAGTATCGAAAGTTGTATTTTTTTTACCAATATTATATATCATATACATACAATTTTAATATTTGTGGATGTAATTGTGTTTCATGTACATAATAATTTTCTGAAAATTTGATATCAACTTAAAAAAAGTTAGAGTAATTTTAGAACTAATTTTGTGTATCTGATACTTAATATCTTTGTAACGATGTGTGCCAAAGTTAAAAGAGACAACATGTAAAAAAGGTATCATTTGAAGCAATGATATATCATATACATAATATCTTCTTCTAAATTTTGTATCTGCTAATATTAAAGTATCAGATGTTGTATTTTTTACCTAATATTATATATCATATACATACAATTTTAATATTTGTGGATGTAATTGTGTTTCATGTACATATTAATTTTCTGGAAATTTAATATCAACTTAAAAAAAGTTAGAGTTATTTTAGTATCAATTTTGTGTATTTGATACTTAATATATTTGTAACGATGCGTGCCAAAGTTAAAAGAGACAACATGTAAAAAAGGTATCATTTGAAGCAATGATATATCATATACATAATATCTTCTTCTAAATTTTGTATCTACTAATATTAAAGTATCAGATGTTGTATTTTTTACCAATATTATATATCATATACATTCAATTTTGATATTTGTGGACGCAATTGTGTTTCATGTACATATTAATTTTCTGGAAATTTAATATCAACTTAAAAAAAGTTAGAGTAATTTTGGTATTAATTTCGTGTATTTAAAACTTAATATCTTTGTAATTTGGCATGAAATAATAAAAGCGTATCAATTTGAGATGTTTATAGCCCCTAAGTATGACATACATAATATTATGTAAATGATAATGATTTAGTATCATCTGTTGTGATTTGTACCAATCTTATAAGATATAATTTGTATCATGTTGTGTGAAGAATAAAATTTTGTTAGTTGTGAATTTTTTTTTGTATCATATACTTGATAATTTTATAAAAACACGTAATGTATCTTAAAACAATAGATCATCAACAATTGTCGGTGAATCGATATATAAAAATCTATTCTACATTAAGAAGATAATTTTCTATTGGTGGAGTGTAGTCACTCTTCGGCCTTGTAGATCATCATTCTCACTAACATATTCCGTCTTGGCCTTGTTGAGACCATACTTTCATAACAATGTTGCATATCTTGTGTGAAGATAGTCACTTTTAAAATCATTAAATGGGTGTTGATTTCACTGCTCAGAAACTCAACAAAAACAACAAAAAACATTCCGCAGTCAATATAAAAAAGAAGAAGATACATTATAAAAAAAGATCAAATGTGTAAGTGAAGAAAAAATGATTCAATAGTTACAGACCGTCGCTTTCTTGTTGCATAATATCTTGAACAAATTCCACCTCAAACGAATGTTGTGGATCCAATAGTAACATGTGAATACATAAAATTACAGGAAAAAAAATACATATCTTTGGTATTGCAGATCTGGATATGGCCGGGGCAACCCTTCTACCACTTTTCTTGGGTGTTTTTGCATGTGCCTCCTTTTTAGCTTTTGACTTCTTAGAACTTTGCTTAGCCATTGTTATAGTATCTTCATAATCAAAGATTCGATTAGTGTTGGTTGTGACTATTTGGATAATCCCGATACTAAAAGACGGATGATCCATAAAGTATAAGAAATATTAAAAATGAAAAAAAGTTAGAAGATGAAGAGACTACCTATTTCTAACTCTGAAAGTGATTGAATGGAGAGAAAATTAGTTTGAAATTCAAAATTTGAATAATGAATCTGTTGAGAATAATGGGGGAGAAAATTTGGAGATGGAATCGTGTGTTGTGGGAAAATCTGAGGAGAGATTGATGGCGAAAATTAGGGAATGGGTAACATCAATTTGGCTTCCAAAAAATAAAATATTTGGTTAAGTTGAATTGGGGGAAAATAAGGGATTTTTGTATTTTAATAAAAGAATAGGGAAATATTGAGAATAGGTAAAGTAATGTTGTGTACTTAAGTAATTTGTCCTATATTTTTCCTTAAGGGGAATGTTGAGATATTATCTCATGAATGTCATTTTAGATGTTCTTAATTAATATACGACAGTATAATTTTTTATTATTATTATCTTGATTCTTTTAGTATGTTGTTAATTTTATTTTGTATAGTGTATGATGCTCATTATTTAAAAAAAAAACACTCCATGCTATTAAGTTTAATATATTTGTATTATTTAATAATTTTAATTTTTCAAATAAATTTTTAAATTTAGGGAGACCTAGCTCAATACAAATTGTAAATAGTATTGCTACAAGTTTAAATGTCATTAGTGACAAAAAATTTTATTTTCGAAAGCTCAATTATTAGTGACGAATACATTATTTTTTTAAGAAGATTACATTTTCGTCATTAAAGTATGACATTTTGTGACAAAAAAATTTTTTGTCCCAAAAATTGCCTACTTATTTATGATATTTTTTAGTGACAATTTTATTTTGTCGGCAAAAGAATTATTTTTAGTGATGACATGATTGTTTCAACTACAAAATTATTTAAATATAAAGTTGTCACTAATTTTTACCTTTAGGGACAACAAAAAAATTATATGTAAAAAGTAGTTTTTAGTGATGAAATATTATTTGCTTGACTACGAAATACATAAATATTAGTGACAAATTGCATCGTCACTAATTAAACTAAATAGTTAGTGACACATCATTTTTGTCGGCTCTAATAACCTATTTAGTGACAAAACTATATCTTTACCTACAAATTTTAATAATTTTTATGACGAATAAATTTGTCATAAATACGAAGGATTTTGGGACACAAATTATTTTCGTAGTTAATACATTTCTATTTTGTGACGAAACACTAAATTGTCTCTGTATACATTTAGTGACCCATGCTTTAGGGACGAATGACTGACGATTTATTTTTCTTCACAAAATTCTTTTTGTGAAGAAATGTGAGTTTCTAGTGACAAAATTATTTGTCGCTAATAATCAAATTTGTTGTAGTGGTTTTCATTCTAGCCATGGGTTCTTCCTAAAAATGATTTCATTGAGTTATTTGTCTTATATTATGGATGATATGATGTTTAATGGTGATTTTTGTAGTAAAATTCCCCATGAACCCATGAATTACACCATGACCCCAATTTCATGAATTGTGATAGGTGTATTGATGCAAGATGAATACTATGAATTGTATCTATGATATTCTAGTTATTGAAACTTGTTCTATTCATGCCTAGTGTAGTATTTCTAGGTTTAATTGTGATACAAGATTCATGACCCTTGAGGGGGTAAATTGCTAGGGTTTGTACATGTTGATGAATGTTGGTATGGACTCATGATTCACTTAGAAAGTGAAGATCCTATGACTATTATGTAAAGTGTCGTATTGTTGAAATTTCATTCTCCCCTTACCCTACACATTATTATGTATGAATTGTCTAGGATAAGGACAATGTTGTTGTGTTGATTGAAAGGCCATTTCTCATGAAAACAGTATGAATATGATGTGAAAGTTCTACTCACATGTTAATGTTGATTCGAAGTTTGAAAGTACATTCTCACTTTATTGAATCTATGAGCTATTTTATGAGTTGTATTGAATGAAGGGCAACATATTCTATCACACATGTAAGCGCGATTCAAGACTATGTATAATTTGGGAAATAATGCTTAGCACCGAGTGGATGTGGTCAATGAGGTAGAGGCCCTCCCGTCAATACAATAGGCCGGGTCATCTAGATTATTCTCATGAGATGGAAGCT